TTTTTTCTCCATCCACATCTCAAGAAAGAAATTTTACTTCAATTACTTACATGGGCAAAACAATTTGATGTATTCCATTTTTTTTCCAACAAATAGATGTTTAATTAAACTATATATATTTTGAAAATTACAATTGTTTGACATTTTGTAAGATTAAATTTGTTCATATCATTTTCAGATGTACCAGAAGACGTACTCAAGGGATACAAGTACGAAGCTGCTGGAACAATAAATAATACGGGTTCGTGACTAAATTTTTTAATATTTTAGAATGAATATAAGTTAARAAAATTACCACAATATTATGTAATTACTTATTAGATTTAATGAATATCAAATATACCAATAATACAACTTAGTAAATTATAGAATTAATGTACTCGCAAATCTAAAAATATTTATTTAGTTATGTGAAAATACATAATAGAGATAAGTTATAATATATAGTAAAAATATATAAATATAATATATTCATTTATTGTACAAATATTAAATTAACTGCGACATAATTTTAGATAGGGCACTGTTCTCAAGTACATCATAATATTATTTTAGTTAAGGTTTTGAACGCATTATCCACAGTAATTAGTTTTTAAATGACTTATATTATGTTGTAACGTGGTCGGGGATGACCCGTTAAATATAAGATATTCAGGAAAGAAATTAGTTTTTTTGAATATATTTTCACCGTAGCTCGGGAACATGAATGGTATTAGCCATTAGGATCTTAATATTACAAATAAATAACGATTGGTCTAAATTATTATTACTACAAACAAATTTATTATTACTTAGGATTTATGAACAAAGTTACCAAAAATGTGGGATTGTACGGAGTTCAGGTGTGTGTGATGGTAATCGCGGAAAACTGTTTTTCTCTTACATATCTATATTGGCCGGAGCCTTACAGTAATAAAATATATAAGTGGCACCTAAACCAGAGAGGCTTAATATATTATAGTCAGCGCATAATGTGCCTATTGTGCATATTATGATGTTTATAAAATACAAGTGGCCACGTGGGTAATGATATAGCATATTACGTATTTTAAAAGATTATAATATGATTGTATTTTATTTTTATTCTGTATTTTCAAACTACTATAATTAAAATAGGGTAGTATTTATTTATTTTTTTCTAAATTTGTATTATCATTAGATAATAAAAAGAGTTTATGTAAAACACGATTCTGAATCTTGATTTAAAAAAAGGAAAAACCATTCATAATTCTCAAAAGTTTCGTAMTATTAGTAGAAGCTTATTACTACTTATATTATTTCTACATGAATCGGACTTTAACTATGGCCGTAAAAATAGTCGKAAGTTAGTAATTAATGATTTTTTTTTCCAAAAATATTTACCGAGTATAATGGATACCGATAAAAAACTAGTATCAGGATACATACCATTAGTGAAAACATTTAGAGAACTACTAGGTTTGCTAAATAAATGGAAATCAAATGCGAGATAGCCACTATTATATTTATTATATGTCATGATTTATTTGAAATACCTACAATTATATTATAATTTTATAAACATTTAAATGAAAATAAAACAGTGAATATTCATGTTAAGAATAATATATTAATAGTACAACAATACAATTTGAATTGACAATAATATAATAATATCAAATGTATTTTTACTGTTTCAGCCACGCTTACGAAGATGCCCATCAATCCGGATTTCCGAAACAAAATCGGTACGTGAGATCATATCATTAGGTTTTCATTGTTATTAAATGATAAAATATTAACGAGTCTCAGGCATTGTCTATACTTCGTTTTCACACAATATAAAAACACAATTTAAACTTGTCTGTCGTACCTAAACCACATGTTCAATTATAACAATCACAAAAGAATATGTTGGTCTAATAAAATCGTGAATCACGAAAATATAATATATAGTATTATTCATTCTGATCATCTATCAAAATATGGTCTTGTCAACTATTTATATCTATTCAGCGACGCAAAATGTATTATTTTTATTACTATTATTA